CCATCCTGGGGGTCCCATCTCCCCTCTCAAAATATAATGCACATGAATGTTTCTCGTCTCGACATGGACATCCTGTCGTCCGTTGCGAAACGATGCTTGGCAGAAATGGAATTGGGCGCACATCCTGTGCGAAAAGCTGAAATGCCGCTCTCGCTTCGGCGCCGCGCTCATTTTCTAGAGGATTGAGATCCCGATCGGGCGCGGCGAACAGTTGTTGCACGTGTGTCCGTCGACGCGAGGCCCGGCGAAAATGTCGCTCTCGCGGCGGCGCCCCGCAGGTTTCGCCCGTGGCGCTCCCGCCTCGGCGCGGTGCACACCCGCCCCTCGCCAGTGCCGGGCGGGGCCGCGCGCAGGGGCGACGTGCTGCCCCTCGCCCAATTTCCGTGCGCATTTGGGCCGCGGGTGGCGTGCCCCAGCGCGGACGCGATAGGCCAGCTGCCTTGCTCACAGCAGCTGGCGTCTGTTCCTAGTGCCTTCGAGCGGCGTAGAGCCAAAAAGAAAAACAGCGCGGACGCGGCGCATGGCCCACGGCTTCCGCGCCGGAGCGGCGGCGGGGGGGGCCGCGCGAGAGCGGGCGACGTGCGCCGACTTCGCCCGGACGCCGCCGCAGCCTGGGAGCGAGAGCGGGAAGTACGGTGGGGTCCATGCCAAGAAACACCTTGCTTGCCTCCAGGGTGCCCTGGGTTTCGTGGGCCTCGATGGTTTTGCCATGGAAGGCGAGGCGGTCACGCTTCCAACGACCCAGCGAAGAAAAGACAACTACACGGGCCGCGCAGGAGGCGGGAACGGCAAGACTTCGCAGGGGCGGGGCAGAAATAAAGCGCGCGCCGCGCTGGCTCATCCAGTAGGGGCCCGACCACAAGAAACCCTCCCACAGGGAACCCAACCTTGAGACCCCAGGACGTCCCTTGTTTTTTTTTCGCGGGGGGGCGTCACGCCTTCCGTGGCAAAACCATCGAGACCCAAGAATGCCAGGGAAACTTGGCGGCAAGCAGGGTGTTTCTTGGCATGGGTCTCCACTGTATCAAATCGTGCCCCAGTTGAGTATTGTGTTGCGGCAGGAAGGGTGGGAGTAGGCGGGGCTCTCTTGGTATACGCCCACTGTGCCACCTGATAGGCCGATGACAGCCCAATCTGGGTGGTCCCATCATGCCCTTGTCGCTTCGGCACCGCGTTCATTTTTCCAGAGAGTTGAGCTCCCGCTCAGACGCGTCGCACATTTGTCGCACGCCTTTTCGTCGACGTGTGAACGGATGGAAATGTAGTTTTTGCGTCTGCGCTGCGCAGATTTCGCCTGAAACTGGAGTTCCCGCCTTGACGCGACGCATGATTGTCACTCGCCAGTGTTCGGCGACCCGCGCCACGTTCCGTGCGCATTTGGTTCGGAATTCGCATTCCAGCGCGGACGCGGCGCATGGTTCGTTCGCCAGGGCGCCTGACAGCGACAGCGGCAGCGGCAGCGAGGCCGCGCGAGAATGGGTGAAACGTGGACCTCGCCCAAACGCCGAGTGAACGTGGCAATGTTGTGGCAACGCGGCGTATGTTTCGTCTTCGCCGCGCTCCTCGAAAATGTTGCCACTCCCGCCCCCGCGCGGCCCGCGTACTTTCCTTTCGCCGGGTCGTCGGAAGCGCGACTGCGCGCGAGCGCCATCCGTTAGCGAGATGGGAGCGCGTTCCAATCATACCTAATTGTGGCCCACTTGATTATTATGTTGTGGCGGGGAGGGTGGGAGCAGGCGGGGCCCTTTGATTCGCTCCCCTCGTACTCGTACTCATGCCTTATGTGCTTATCATTACTGGCCCGAGCGCGCCCAGGAGGAAGGGAAGAGAGGAGAGGAGGAGGAAGAGGAGCACGACGACGACAGTGACAATTCCGTTTGGCTCCTCCTCTTCTTCACCGCGTTGAGGTAGTTGTAGTGATTATTGCAAGGCAGCCAAGTGCGAGAGGGAAGTGGGGACGCGAGGAGATGACGAAGGGGGAGAAACAGGCGGAGTAGAAGCACGGGGTGACGAAACACGATGTCGGGTGACAAAAAGCTTCACGTCCGGCAAAGGCCGGAAGTGCGTTTCTGTGACAGGTCTTGGCGTCGAGCGTCGCATTCAGAAGGAAACAGAAAGGCTGTCTTAACCTGGCAAGTCAGATGCCCACTCGGGGACAGGCGGGGGGGATCCGGAACGGCCCAGGCTTGCGTAGGAGTTATATCGCCGCCTGATCGTCCTCGTCTTCGTCCTTCCCCCCATGCGCCTTCGTCCGCCTCGTCCTCCCTCCGCCTCCCGCTTCCTCTTCCCCCCCCCCTCTCTCCTTTCCCTGTGCCTCCCTCTTCTTCCCTCCCCTCCATTTCTCCCCTCTCTCCTCTTGCCGTCCGAGGAAGAGGCGAGGGATTGCGGGGTGGCTTTGCTAGGAGGACTAGCGTCGCCACTTGATCATCCTCGTCCTCTTCCTCTCTTGTCATCACCCTCCGTCGTCTCGCGCAGGCCAGTCTCGAAGGCATTTGACGGCATACAACCTGGCAAGAGGAGGGCCCGACCCGTGCCTCCTCTCTCTGCACCTGTTTCTCCCCCTCATCCACCACCTCCCGCCTGCTTGACTCCTCCTATCCGCGATCGGTTGCGGTTTTCGTGGGATTCCGTTTTCCTTCAGAGGTGAGGACGGTTCACAATTAGGAGGATGCGATCGCAAAGGACAGTCGTTCTGAGGTTATCGGAGGGATATGCGTACACGCACAGAGCGCCAGAGGGGGCTATCATAGACAGCGGCCCAGGACGTGTTGGCCCATCATGGTATGGCCTGATGTGTCCAGGGAGGTAGGTACTGGATCAGAGTCTCCATTGACGTATATGGGAAGGTTTCTGGGTTATTGGATAGCGACAACAGACAAACTATTCGGCTTTACGCAGCCCCGTCCTCATCCGTTATCTCTCTCTCTTTCTCTCCTTCTCCCTTTCCCTCTCTGTATGCATGTATATCTATATATATATATATTCACATATATATATATATGTATCACTGAAACGGATTATGCACTCGCATCGGGCCCACATTTTTCTGGCGTCGTCATCAAGGTTGCAATGGTATTGTCCGTTTTCGCCGTCCCAAATCCCACATGGTTGCATGTTTGTGTGTTGCGAGCTTGCGTTGTGGCATACTTGCGAGTGTTCTTTACCAGCGAATGTGCTAGGGACATGTGCTCGGCGCCTAGGCTGTCGGGGTACTTCGAGGCCGCCCGAAACGCGCGGGTGCGTTCGGCGCTGGAGGGGTCGTGCGACGTTGGGACAGCGTGAGACTCGCGGATGGGCTCGACGCCGAGGGTTTCGGTGCATGGAGCGTGCTGAGACTTTCTGAGACCGTTCGAGACCCCTATCGAGACTCACCTGGTCTGTAAAATGGTATTTCAATGGACATTCCGAAATTTACCCGACACTCACTCACTCTTTACCATTTTGAATTAGGGGTCGAAGAGTCCCAAGGTGGTTCTAGCACGGAGTGGGCGCCGCCCAGGCGCGCCAAGCATCGCATAATGTTCGTTTTGTGTTGGCCCACATCTTCCCAGCGTGCGTGTAGTGTAAGATGTGACTACATGGGATTGCCTTGGATATGGTGTGCCCGCAATACCGGTTTATGATACCGGAAAAAACCCAATCAGATTGTGTTTAAATCTTCCAAGTGTTCCCTTTGTAATCGGCCGGAGCGGCAGGCACCAATGAGCTATCGGGCTATAAGGCTATCGAGCTATAGGGCTATCGGGCTATAGGGCTATCGGGCTATAGGGCGGGCTATCGGGCTATAGGGCTATAGGACTGTGACCTATAGGGCCATAGGGCCATAGGGCTATGAAGCTATAGAGCTATATGGGCTATGGGGCTATAGGGCTATAGGGATATACGGCTATTAGGGCTACAGGGATATAAGGCTATAGGGCTACAGGGCTATAGGGCTACAGGGCTACTGGGCTACTGGGCTATTTGGCTACTGGGCATCCCCGGGCACCCCCGGGCACCCGGGCACCCCCGGGCACCCGGGCACCCGGGCACCCGGGCCCGGCCACCGAAATCGGCCACGCACCTCACCAGCCACCCGGGCACCTTGGCACCGCCGGGCACCCGGGCACCCGGGCACCCTGGCCCGGCCACCGAAATCGGCGACGCACCTCACCTAACCTTGTAATCCGCTATGACCCCTACAGAGGCAAGCTCTGATTGGGGAATAAAAAGATGCATTGCTATATTTCTCGGGGGCGGAAAAGAGGGGGGTGATGATTAGGGGGGGGTGGATATCATGGCGGTGGCCATGATACTTCCCCAGATTTCATAGCGCCTCTTCTTATTTCATTACTTCCCTAGCCCCCCCGCTGGGCCGCGCACATGCCGCCGGTTATGATTTGCACCCCCCCTCGTGGACACCCCTTTCTTGGCCTCTCCCGAATTTCGATGTGTTTTGCAGGCTATAGTTGCGCAGTTTCACGCCTACATCATCAAGCTCGGCGTGGAGTTGCTTACTGTCTTCCCCGCCCAAGCAAAATATCCCCCCCTGGTTATTTGTTATTGCACCTCGATGACAGATTCGTGTAAGAGGCAGTGTGTGTGTTGCAATCGCGTGGCGTAAAATGCAAATTCGAGCTGGTATTGAAAACTGCCTCCGAAGGAATTACACCGTACGGGCTGATTCAAAACAGCCGAACGCTGTATGAGTCCACGCTTCTGCGTATTACGATATTAATGCGCATGTCGTGGGGACGTTTGACATGCAGTGTTCTTCAATATACTTAAAAGGATGACGAGGTACACGAAAGAGCTTCCATCACTAGGGAGCACGGCGATGCGCAGATGTGCGTTGTAAAACGCATGCCTGCTATGCTTGTGCTGCATCATTGTGGATAGTACCCACTTGGTCGAGGTTGTCGCCGTTGTTCACGGCATTCTGGGCACCCTCTATTTGGTCGAGTTTGTCGCCGTTGTTCACGACATAGCCATCGTCCAAGCGATCATAATCGCTAACCCGTGCATGCCTCTTTGATCGGTTGGGTTCGACAGCCGTTGTTGGAAACTACATATGGCTCGACTCGTGTTGGGCACGGTGGTACGGAGAACAGGCCCATTGCGAGTTATAGTCAGAAGCCGGGCGAAGGTTGGCAAGACCGTGGCTGCTAAAACGGAGCTCCAGGAATTTGTTTTTCTTCCGGGAAGCAGTCTGTCTATTACTTAGTGCGCTGAGCTTTATTCTGGTTTTTTGTTATCCTTCCAGGAAGACCGTTTTAGCAGCCACGGATTTGCCAGCCAGCCCTCGCCCAGCTTCCGATGTAGGCGTTTTGTCATACAGCCCCGGCGGCGGAGTAGGGAAGAGCGCAGGTTCGGACGGGGCCCGGTGTTCCCTGGGTGCTGCCGTGGTGGTGTCTACTGCGCCCCTCGTGCACCCGGGCGCTTTTTTTTTGGGGGGTGGGCCACGAAGGGGCTTGGCTCCGTATCTGGCGCTCCTTCTGATCGAAGTCTGATTGTTCGTGGCGGCCGTCGTGCGCTTGCACCCTCGTTCGCCTCCCCCCCCCTCCTCTTCGTCCTCCTCTCGCAGAGATGTCGGCTCGTTCTGCCTGTCGCTGCCAAAGTCAGGGTGTCGCGTGTCGACTCGCCAATTGCAGTTTGGTCTTCGTTCAGCTCCAGGTGTGCTTGGTGCGTTTGATCGGCACCACTGGTTGTAGATAGGCATACGGAAGTCTCCCCTTGACGCTCAAGAGGGCCTCTCAAAAAGTAGAGCAGGCTTGCACGAAACGCTTGGCGAACACAATGGTGGCATGGAAGCGACATCACTCAGCCCAGCTCGATGAAGGAGAAGAAGCAAGCGACGACGTAGGAGGAGCATTGGCAGCAGCATGTCAATCTGAGTTCTTGAGGAGTGAGGAGGATTGCTCTCCCGTCTCGGATATGGTTTGAGGTGGTGGAATTCGCCGAAGTACGGCACCGTGATAGTCACTACTCCTTGTCCATGTGCTTTAGGAGCCTGGACTGGAATGCAGACCGGACCTCAGGTGATCTGGCAATTTTTCTTGCTTGTGCGTCGCTTCTTCCTCGCCATCCCTCCTCCTCATCCATCCCATTCTTCCCCTCGTCCTCGCTGAGTGCACGGCCACTCGTGACAACAAGTAATGCGCATTGTGCGTTTCGTTCTGTTATGTGTTTTGTGTGGCGCGATGACATGATGTGTGGAAGAGAATACGAGAAGGAGAAGGAGGATGAAGAGGAGAGGGAGGAACAGGACGAAGAGAAAGTGGAGCAGGTGGAGCGACATGGAGAAGGTGGACAAAAGGAGATGAACAAGGAGGAGAAGAAGGAGGGAGGACAGGGGGTGTGAAGGAGGAAGAGGGCGAAGATAGCGAAAGAGGATGTGCACTACGACCCCTTCGCACTAAGTTATCCATCTCACATGGGCACGATGAACACTTCATTGATCACCATCCCAAGTCCGCGAGACTGCTCGTCCTCGTCCCCATCCTTAGTCCTCTTCTTCCTCAGCCTCCAAAAGAGAATTATTTGTCCCATTCCTGATCCTAGCTAGTACTAATAATTAAAAGATCCTGGCTCAAGCGCTTAAGCGGACAGGAATCGTTTTTCATACGATTCAAGCGTGTGTTCCCCAGACTGTGTTCCCCAGACTCCACATTTTCTTGTCCTACCGTCCATCTTTCTTGCACACCCATGGCGCAGCTCAGCGACATCCAGACTTTGCAGGATAATGGTTTCGGAAAGCTGCGAAATGACCTCAAGGGCGACATCATGAAGGAAATGGGCCAGCTGATCGACGCTCGACTCAAGCAGCAACAGGACGAGCTCATGGGCGAGATCCGGAAGCTCCAGGAGAGGACTGCTGCTTTAGAGGCCCGGGCGGACTCAGGCGGCGTTGGGACCAAACGCGCGCGCAGCAAAGGTCCTGGATACCGGGCTGCGCGCACCGATTCCTCCGACAATGAAGTCCTCGTTCTCAAGGGTTTCCCGTTCCCCATGTGGTCCAAGGCGTTGGTCAAACACGCGGAGACGGTTTTCCATTCGCTCTCCCGAATTCTCCGCTCCCGCAGATCCGCGCCGCCAGCAACACCCACGTCCGCTTCATCTTCAACGATTCCGCCTCGGCGAAGACCGTTTTCGAAAACTCCATTCGGACCAGCCCGCGGATTACTCTTGGCTCGGAATCGGTGCCGGTTTCTCTTCAAAGGGACCGGTCACCAGACGAACGTGTCCGGGGATGGGTCATCTCGCACTTGTGGAAGAAATTGGAGCAGCATACGACGACCAAGGCCAACCAGGGCCAAATCGGATGTCGACGCGGCAAGGGGGAGGTGTTCATCGACATCGGCGGCATGGGGCACCTGATCACGATCTACACAGTTCAGGAGGACGGCGTTTCCACCCGTGTACACGACAACGGGCTCGACATAACTATTCTCGCCCCAGAGATGGCGGCTTCGATAGCCTTTGAGGTGGATGCGCACAGGCGTTCTCAGAATTCAATCAATTTAGCTGGGTCATTGCACTCCTTCCTCTACTCCCTCTCTGCCTTCTGCGCGGGGGGCTTCGTGTTCATAAACGCGGGCACGCAGAAGGAATATAGCAACCTCTGCATCCCATGATGACTCATCTCCTTACTCTTTGTATTACTCGGGCAATTTGTCTGGATATGTCTGGAACGCGCGTGGGTTATGTTGTGGCGACCATGCCCGCCGCAAACGAAAATTCGGGTACGCCGTGGAGCTCTGCCACCGCCACGACTTTACGTTCTTCCTCGAGGCGCACTCGGCCCAATCGAGAAGCAGGACTTCGACGAGGAAACTTTGCCGAGAATTTCGCGTCGATTGGTTAGATTCTGATGCCGCTCCCAACTCTGGTGGGATAGGCGTCGCAGTCACGCGCGACTTCCTCGCCAATTTTACCTCCATCAGAGTTTCGAACGTCATGCCAGGGCGTCTCTGTACTCTCTCATTTTTAGGGCCGCAGGGCAATTTAATCATCTGCGGCGCGCATGTCGAGGGCGACGCGCCGACTGTGCTCGAGTCTCTAGCCGGGGTTACCGATCCAGCTTTGGAACCGCGCATATCCTCTTGGGGGAGTTCAATTCGATCGCCTCCAAGATCGACCGCCTCGACGCCACCCTGCATCGGCGCTCCCGCCGCGCAATCGTTTGACAGCCAAGCCTGCATGGATGACCTCGCGGAGCTGGAGCAACCCGATTTCACCAGGAGGGGCGCCGGTGCCGCAGGGCATCTACAGTTCAGCCGCATCGACTGCATCTTCACCACGTTGCCAAGTTCCTTGTTGAGCGGTCTGGAGGTCAGAGCGGCGTCGCCTGGGTCTTCTGCTCTCCCAAGCTTTGATCTCAGCGGCCATGCCCCGGTCTTCGCCAGTCGGAGGGCGAAGGTCTCTTGCGCGCGCGCTCCAACAATTCCGAAGCGGGTTCCTCGGCGCCCCCTCTGGAAGGTAGCGCTCGAGGACCCGGGGCCTCAGCTGACTGGGCCATCTTGGATCGCAGAAGAACAACTTAAGGACCTCTCCCATAAGGCTGCGCAGGAGATCACGCGACGCGCGCAACATCGCGGCGCCCATGCATCGGAGGAAAAGCTTCGGTGGTGCCCGAAATTCTTACGGGCCGCCCACAGCGGGGGTGCCAAGCAGGCGCTGGCGGCTGCTTCCGTTTGCCCTGAGGTCCAGGACATCCTCGGCAGCTGTTGCCCGCAGGATTGGGCGTCCGAGAAATTCGGCCGCGTCGAGGTGTTCGTCCGAGGCCTCAGCCAGCAAACCGCGGAGGACTGATTACGCGAACCTGAAGAGTGCAGCACCTTACCCGACTACCAGAAGAGCCGGAAACGCGCCGGCACTCTCGCGCGGGTTGCGCAGTTCTCTCCGAGAAGGCGCCGGACGTAAACCAGGGCCTCATGGATGCCGACGGCCCCCCCATCTCAGATTCCGCACGCGCGCGCTGCTGTGTCCTACCATGAGGGCCCTGCGTTCACTGCGAAGCCCGTCGACGTGGTCGCCGCCCGACGGTTCCTCGAGGACACGCCGTCGCCCTCCCAAAAATCCAGTGGGACATCGACTTATCGGAATTCTAGACGCTTCGCGCATCCCCACCATCCCATCCGCCAATGGCATCGCCCCTTCAAGCTCCTGCAGATCGTCGAAGGCCTCCCGCGGGGCAGGCTCGAGACGAGCCCTGCGACGCGCCAGCGGCGCCGCCCTCCGCAGGGAAGACTTGCTGCTGGGATCCGCCTGCTTCCGAGACCGTGGGGGCGTCGGCGCGGGCAGCGGGGTCGACAGCTGCCGCCGCTGCCAGGCCTTCCCCGCGCCCTGTGCCCGGAGTTGCAGGCCGCAGCGAACCTTCCTCGGCACCGCGAGGACCGCCTGGAGCTCCGTCCGGGCAGCGGAATCCTGGGCCACCAACGCGTAGTCGATTAGGCCGCCCTCGCCCTTGAAGCACGTCACATCTGCGGCAGACGGGAGCACCACACGTCCGCCCACGCGCTCGGGGTAGCCGGTGCGAATCAGCTCCGCGCTCAGCAAGTTCCAGTCGCCAGCGCGACCCGCGGGTCCGCCAGGCTCTGCAGGAAAGCCCCCAAGGCGGCATACCGCTTCTGGTTGGCCCCGCGGACGCCGAGCCCAGGGAACATGTAGGCCGACACCACCACCGAGTTCCCGCCGCGGAGGTGCACCACCATCGGCGCAAAACCGCACAGCGGGTCGGCGCCAGAAGCCCCAGCCGCACGGCGCAGGTGCTCGAACGTCGTGGTCGCGACGTGCGCGCGGGCCGCCATGAGCTCGCCGCCCCGCGCCCCCGATTCCGACCGTGCCGACGGCCAAGCCGCCGACGCAGATACCTTCCAGCCTTCCTTCGCCATGTCCAACACGGCCTGGCTCTGCCTGGTGGCGTCCAGATGGGTCGCGTAGCAACCCGCCGCCTCGTAGTAGTCCGCGCGTTCGTTCCAGAACCTCGCCGACGGGGGGGCCCACTTCGCAACGCTGCTGA